AGCTGAAAACATGCTTCCATCCCCACCAGTGGCATTTCAGCCATGGCATCAAGATGGGAGCCTCCTGAGCAGCAAAACAGCTGGATAAAACCCCAAGCTCTTAACTTAAGCCCAAGAGCCTGACCCCAGCCCTACTGACACAAATATTCCCTGAGCAAACACTTTTCACCACTTCTCCCCAGCAGCCTCTCTGAGGTTTCCTGCCCCAAAATAGGCCCTGCTAAAGGGCTGCAGCTGACTGGGCTGGGCAGGCAGGGTGGGAACAACACACAGATCTTCTCCTGAGCTGAGAAACATCACTGAGATGAACTCAGGGGAAAGCAGATGCTCAGCCAGCTCTTAAATTGCTCTTGGAGCTGTTATCAGCAGCTCACTGCTGGAGCAGGGAAACACAGTGAGTGGCACCGCAGGAGCTGCTCTGCAGGGCGACTGTAGTTGATATTCCCATTACTGCTCTGCTGATGGGAGAGAGCACCCATGTGAAACACATGGGTGAACCTCACGTTGTCCCAGATTGTCCTGGCTTTCCAGCCCCCCAAACCCTCATCATCATCTGTAAGCACTGACCTGTGCATGACAGTGGGGTGTCCCCTCTGCTTTGCATCCTCTGCATGGATTTAAGCCTTGTATTTCAGTGGTTGTGCTGGGTTTGGCAGTGGCTCTGAGCTGGGAGGTTCAAGAGCACAAGTTCAAAAGAGTGGGAGTCTTTGCACACAAAGATGTGTGTTAGATAAAGATGTGATTGCAGGAGCCTGGGTTGTGGGAGACCTGACGTGGGGGTATGTAGCTCTCCTGCTGATGCCGGGACTGCAACACCGTGCCTGCTTTGGGATGACAGGTTAAGAAAGATGTTGAAGAGCTGGAGGGAGTCCAGAGGAGCAGCACGAATAACAAGATGATGTTCAGTAACCACAGCTTATTAGGAAATGTTAAAGAAGCAAGGTTGGTTTAGTCTGAGGCGCAGAAGACGTGCAAACAGGCCACCATCAGGCAAAGTTTAACTGTAAAATACCATTTGAACAGGAAATGTTAACCGGTGGTACTGGAAGGGCGCTGGAGAAAGGATCAGAATAAAAGCAAATTCACTAGGGAAGGGTTGGGTTGGACATTACTAAAAGTTTTCTCTCAGCTACAGTGGTAACGTGCAGCACCAGTGGGGCAGGTCCCTAGGGAGGACTGGTATCTTCTCCCTGGATGATTTAAGGTTAGACAAACATCCATCAGAGATGATCTCCTAGGATCCTGTGTTTATGAGATGAGAAAGGGAGGTTTAATACATCCATCCATCCACTCCCACTGCCCGGGCAGACCCCCGAAATGCTGGGCCATAAAACTAGGGACCAGATCTTTTTATCCCAAGGCAAGAAGAATCTCCAGCATTTTAACAGAGGATGTCACTGAATCCAGCCTGGAATAAATGTCCTGCCATGTGTAAGTCCTGACAGAGGAGAAGCAATAGGTCCAACAGTTTAAATGCTTTCCCACCAGACCGAGTGCTGATGGGTGCACTTAGGGATGTTCTCTGCCAGCATCCACCATGCTGCTGGGGTAGACCACTCTGGTGCCCTGCAAGTGGGACCCAGGAGGGGCTGCTGCTCCCACATTTCCCCCTCAGCCTTACCTCTGATCTTGCTGGTTTACATTACTTCCTCTTCCTCTTCTCTGCCAGCACCTACCTGCACACCCCCCTGCTGCTGCTGCTGCTGCATAGGAGGTCGTCTCCTCAGCTCACACCTCTGCCTTATCTGAACTGGCCTTATCTGAACTGGCATCTCTTGGCTTCCTGAAGGAAATGAGCTGGGGGGAGGCACATGCACAGCACCTAAATTTAACACCTTGCCATATAAGAGAGGGAGGAGGACTCAAGCACACAACTGTAAGCACCCAAATGATACCCTTGGTGCCTGAGAAGCTATGGCTCACCATAGGCACACCAAAACAGGCCATCTGAAGGTACCCTCCTATGGCCAGCACTACCTTTTTGCCCTTCACCTGCCACAACACGACTGAAATGAGTCGTGATGTGAGTTTTAACATGGAAGAGATAGTGACAGGCTTGTTTTCCTTCCCTTGCTTTTCCTCCTGGCAATCCCTGATGTATTTACCAGGCCTTTCCCTGCATGCAGGAGACTGCCTGCCCTCACCTACCTGTGTAGCTGGCAAGATGTAATCCAGCAAAGCTGTGATTTATGCTTCATGCCATTTTACATCTGATCTGCACCAAGATCCAGGGCTTTTTTTTTTCTTTTGAAGACCAGAATCAAACAAAATAAAAAATCAAGCCATCATTTAAATAATTGGTGGATGGGAGCTCAGCAACGCTGATTTAAAGGGATTTAGCTCCAACCTTAAAGCCTGCAGGGGAAGCTGCAATTTTCTGATTAATTCTTCCACAAACAGGGGTAAAAACCATCCCAGCCTTGCCCCTGCTCCTGCTAAATGTGAGGAAGGGTTGAAACAGGAGAGGCTGGACTGCAGGGTTGGGCCGCTCGTGGTGATGCTGGTACTGGAGCCTTTCCACCCATCACCTGCCCTGTCTCTTCTCCAGGCATCTCCTCCTTCCCATGTCCCTCCGGGTTGTATCACTTCCTTCTCATAAACACGAACTCAGCACTGAACACATTCTGTAATCAAATCATACCTGAATGATGTTAAAGGAGAACTGGAAAGCGCTTTAATAATGAATAAATCAAGGGGGATTAAGAGCCCTGCCCCATCTAGAAATGACCCATGTGTGGACTGAAAATGCAAACTATTACATTAGATAACAAGATCAGGGGATGATTTATCAGGCAGGAATGGGCAGAGCATGTGTTCAGCTCCATGTCCTGCCTTTGACAGTGCCTGGCAGAGAGATTTCAGACCAAGGAGGAAGAAACCCCCCGTCTTGTTTGCATTAGCCCTGCTCCAGGAGAATATCTTATTGCTCATGAGTGATGCCCGATACGCTGCAGCATTGTGGTTTCTGGCTCTTATCATCTTCAATCTTATCTACACTCATTTTGGAGGGAGGGCTTCCTTAAAGGGAGCTTTCCATAAAAAAGTACATGGTTATAGGATGATGGCAATGCTCCCATCAGCTTCCTTAATTCTTTCCTCTTAAGCTCTGACTATCCTGATCTCATCCTCTTCATTGTAAAACTCCCTTTATGCTTTTCACAGCGTTACTGAATGGCTTTGGGCAGACTTTAATCTCATCTGCCTGTCCTGAGAAGTGGCCAGGACTGAACCTAGAGCACTGCCCCATTCCATGAAGGTATGTTATATATTTTCTATGAGGTTTTATGCCCTTACCCAGTGCAATCTGCTGCCTGTGCCACCTCTGCCTGCTAAGCGAGCACTTCTTCACCTCCTCATCATTACACAGGGGCTGCTCTTTTGTGTCTGTCTCCTGAGTCACTAAGGGCACATTTAAAACCCACCAAAGTGTATGAAAAGCTCAAGTGACATTTTCTAATGGGCATTGCTTTTCAGTGCTTGCCATTTCCTTTAACCGACTGACAGGCCCTTCACTAAAGTCCCTTCCCCTGCTCCCCTTGCAGCTTACACCAGCCTGATATTATGTTCTATTCCCTGCAAACTTTATCCACTTGGCTCTTTGCTCTTTTCCCCTTGCATCATTAACAAAAGTCCTTCATCCCAATATGGACTCTTGGGGATGTCCTATTATTACATTATTTATACACTGAGAATGAACTCTTGATTCCATTTCTTCCTTTCTCTATCTTAATAAGCTTTTAATACACTGTGAAAGTTAAACAACCTCCCTCTGGCTATTGAGCTTCCTTAAAAGCCTCTTTGATGGTCTTTATCAAAAAGACCTCAGGAAAATGTAGTAACTGTTCTCCATTATCCGCTGCTTTGTTTGACTTACTATAAGGCAAAAGGATTTCCCCCCTCTGTATTAGAAGCACACAGGTACTTTGTAATTCTGCCTTTAATTATTATTTCAATTTACTTGCTATGTCCAGAAGCAGTTACACTTCTTTAACGTATCTCTGCAAACAGGCTGAAAAATGCAGGTTTGGGGTTCATTAAGATTAGTTGCAAATTCATCAGAAAGTACAGGAAATAGTGCTGAAACCCCCTGGTTTTGGCATGTGAAAAATGTGTTTCCTTCTGGTTTTAAACAAAATATGCTAATTTCCCCTTTTCAAACGCTGTTTCAAGATTAAGGCATTTTTAATCTGTTTCTCCACATTGTATTAATGGGTTTCTAGGGATGATTTTCAATAGCAACCGGCTAAAACCGGAGAGGAAAAGATGTCTTGTTTCAGCCCACTATTATTCCACAATGAAAGCATTCAGGGCTGTCCTCCAGACCTTCCCATCCTCCCCTGCAAGCAGAAAACAGGTTTTACCCTCCTACAGCTCAGAGATGAGAACCAGGGTCTATCCTCCAGTCCTCCAAGGAGCAAGAGAGCAGCTCCTTCACTCCTTCAGGTGGAACAAGCAAGAGTAAAGGGATGGGGATACAAAGAGTACCAAGGGAGACATCCTAACCCAGCAGGGCTGGTCTGCTCCCAGATCCTCATCATGCCATGGGAAGGGATCCACAAGCCCATTGCCTTGTCCCTGCACCTACAGGATACCTCTGAAAAGTTGTTCCCTTCAGAAACATGCCGGTTTCTGCTCATGTGAGGGCATCTCTAGCTGAAACAGTGAGATGGGTTTGAGATGGTGAATTTTTGTCCAGGATTAACGGTGGTCTCAGCTTATTCTCTACTTCAGAAAGGTGTGAAATGCTCTGGAGGGGTGCAGCAGGTACCTACCAGAGACATTTTGAATGAGGGCCACATGTCATGCACTGTAAAACCAGGCTGGGCTCATGGTGCACATCCAAGGGAAGTCACTTACCATGGGATGGGACCACAGAGCTCTTCCTCTTTCCTTGCATCCCACCCAAACGTGTGTGCTCATACGAAGATGGGTCAGCAGAAAGCCATCACGGTGGAGCACAGAGCCAGATCCACACCTTCTCCTTTGTTTCTAGGTCCAGGCAGCTCTCCAGGCACTGCAGCCTTCCAGGTAAAAGCGCCACAGGGGATGTCCTAGGGCAAGGCAGGGATGGGTGAGGGTGATGGTGAAGGTGGGTTCAGGTCTGTCTGGACAAGGAGGCATTTGGAGGATTTGAGATTCAGTATTGGCTTTGTGTTAGTCACGATTCCTAGGTGGAATCATGAGAGCAAACTGCTTGGTCCCACCTGCCATGTCAGCCTCCTCAGTGGCTTCAGTCCTTTCACTGCACCCATACGACATCAGACAAGCTGTCCTATGGGTGCAGCAAAACAGGGTTTAAACACAAACCCAGTTTGTGTTTGTCAGATAAACTGGGTTTGAGGCCAGAAGTGGGGCTGCACCAACACATTCCAGTGGGGACTGTGAAGTCTTCCCAAATCCTGGGGTTTCAGCCCTTCAAAAGGCCATTGGGGTGAAGAGGAGGCATGAAGGAGGGACAACCACCTCCCATACAAGCCTTTAATATATGAGCAGGGACATTTAATAAGAGGTTCCATTAATAAATGGTTGGTGTTCAGAGCTGCAGAGGGAGGGTTTATTCTGCACATTCCTCAGCTTTCGGGAAAGGCCATAGTCCAGAACCACAAATAGTCATTGCCCAAAGGACTTAGCATTCCAAAAAGGAAATGAAAAGGGAAAACTGCAGCTGTAACATCGAAGGGAGCTTCCAAGGGCTGGATTAGACTCTGGCAGACTTTTTAATGAGGGATAGCTTGGCCTCAAACTCTCTTTGAGTAGGAAAAGGTGCAAAAAGTGGGAGAGAGTTTCAGAGGGAGGCAGACTCTGCAGGCTGTATGGGTTTGGCTCTCTGCAAATTGCTTCACCTTCCTGTGGCTCACTGCTGGGAAGAGATACTCAGGCTGCTGCTGACTGCTCTGGCTGGGGAAGGGGTATTTGTTTGCACATATGTGCTAGACCCCTCACGTAAGGATGGGGGGGCTCAGCTGGACCCAAATGTCTACCTCATGCATCTCTGTGTACTGGGACGGGCTTCAGCTCATATAATTGAGGCAGCTGCAGTGATTTTGGCAGACCTCAGCTCCATAAACTGACACCAGAAGAGAAGGGGACCCATGAAGTCTGGTGTGAGTCTCCAAGAGGAAGAGGAGCTTTGCACACAGAACACACCAGGGCACATTGCTGTGTTGCCTGACCCCAAAGTACTCACAGATCTGGGTCAAACTGGGCACAATTTCTGCAAAATAGGGCAAGAATCTGTGGAAGGAGGAATAAAAAGAGGCCATGTGCCCCTTTCTTGTCACCCAGAAGCTGAGACTCTGCTTGAGTGGAGGAAATGTGGGTCCATGCTGCATGTACCAGCACCTCCTGCTCTGTATGGAAAGGCAGTGCCCTTCCTGTGTAGCCTTCTTGCTGTGGGGAGTTTAAACCCTTTGCTTTTCTTAAGCAAAAGCAAAATCAAGTCTTCCTTTCGGTATTGAGGGGAAAAAACGATAATAGCTTGGTTTGGCATGACAAAAGGATTCCAGCTTGCTTTGCCTCCTAGCACATTAAGAGCTGCAATGATTCCCAGCTTTCCCTTTGCCTTCCTGACACTCCCAGCTTGGTCAGCAAACCCAGCACTCTCCAGCCCTGCCTGCGATCTCCCTGCGAGGTCATTACTTTGTGGATTTTCTGCTTGGCAAAAATATCCCGATAGGAAGCGAGTGCAGTCACATCCCCATGGAAAATGCTGATGGAGCCGCTTTCTGAGCGTGACTCCTGGAAACTGGGAGAAAAGCAGATTCCTGTGTAAAGAAAGGCAGCTGGAGCCCTTCTTGTGCAGCAGGCGCTGCCAAGGAGCCATCACTGCGAACAGCATGTTCATACCCTGTGACCTAGGGAGCACCTTCCCCACCTCTCATCATTGACTCCCATGCAAGTGCTCCCTCGATGCTCTTGAAGGAACCTTCCACTGGGCAGGAACTTGTGTTGTTACAAACTGGTGAGCCCAAAGAACAGGAAGCAGTGGGGAGAGGAGCTGTCTTCCACACAACAGGGCAAAGCATGGCTCAGCTCTAGCAGGAAGCAGGAGGTCAGACAAGCTCAACCGTTTTCCCCAGAGGCAGCAAGGAGCTTGGATAGATGGAGATGCTGAGCCAAGATAGCGCTGTCCTTTCCATCTCCTTATTGCTGGAATGGACCCTGTAGGTTTATGGCTGAAGCTGTGCCTTGAGGAGGAAGAAGAGCTCTGGGAAGAGGCGGTATGGAAGTACGGCTCCAGAAGGGAGGGTGTGATGTTTCAGTCCCTCTCAACCCTGCCCAGGTCTTGGTGCCCCCCTGAGCTCTGTTTCTCTGCCTGTGAGGTGGGGGAAGCAGTGACCCCCTCGCTATGGGATGGACAGACCCAAGGCTTTTGACACCAGGGGGTGACCCTGCTCTGGGGTCCTTGCTCCTCACATGGTGTCAGTGAAACCAGCGGGGAGCTTCTGTTTTCTTTGCTAGAGCTGTTTCCCTCCTTGTCGAAGGAGACTGGCTGGTGACCAATGAAAATCCATGGTTCTTCACTAAGAGCCTCTCATGGTCCAGTCCTGCCAGATGGAGAAGCCAGGATCTGAATCTCCCCAAGCCCTGCTCTGGCTGATTCCAACATAGAGTTCATTTCCTGGCTTTCCTCCCCATCATAGAATCATAGAATAGTGAGGGTTGGAAAAGACCTTAAGATCATCCAATTCCAACCCCCCTGCCATGGGCAGGGACACCTCACATCCTTTCCCATCTCCTCTCCCCTCCTCTCCATTCTTGTTTTGCCTCACTGAAGAAGGATTTAACCCAGGATTAAGACCAAGAGCACAAATGAATTGCAATGTCCCAAGGGAAAAGAACTACACTGGCTTTAACTGCCTTTAACATGGTTTCAAGGCCACCACTTCCAATCAAACCACCAAGTGGATGTGATATACAGCCTGCCTATACATTGCACATATGGCATTGATTAAAGAACAAGATGAGCTAATGGTGTTGAAGCCATTGCTGTGAACACATGTAATCACTCATGTGCCTGGAGCACTCTGCATCACAAAAGCTCCAAAGACACTGTTGTATGGTATCATTATGAGACTGGGTTTTAATCTGTCATGAGGTGTGAGTTCAGCCTTGCTTCTGCACCCCTGTGGAACCACGGGCATTAAGAGCATTTGGTTCTCCCCACTACCAGAGAGTCAAGTCCTGGATGCTGCTGTCTTGCAGTAACTCCTCATCCAGGCTCACCCAGCTGGGAATTTCACCCCATGGAGGTGTTACGGCACCTCTTGCTGGGCAGCAGGGACAGGTCTGGGTGTGAGCAGTGTTCAGAGTGATTCTGGACATGGGAGCAATCCCGCAGGTCAGAAGGAGGATGCGGAGAGCAGAGGGATCCCCTGAAGGACCCGGAGCCCAATGCAGGGCCACGTGGTGGAGGTTTGCTGGTTGTCCTCCCTGCTGTCTCCTTGCAGACTAACACTCAACCTGTTTGAGAAGGAAACGTGGGGTTTGCTGCTTCACCCTTGCTCCCAGCAATTAGAAAACCTATTTCCATGGTGTCCTTCAACATCAACTCACGTGAGTTAATCATTAATTTAACCAAAGGGGAAAATGAGAGAGTGAAACAGGGAGTAGAGCTGGGAAGAAAAACTGGGATGAAACAGTTACCATAGATTTAACCTTTACTGTATCCTGAAACTGACTGAGTTTTGCTCAGATTTAGAAGGAAATCAAGTTCAAGCAGTTTATATCATGGCAAAATACCTTTTGAGCTGGTTTTTGTCAGATGCATCACTAAAAAGGAAAGTTTAAGAGCTCAAGAAGTCCCGCTGGCCTGGGTTTTGATTTTAGCCTCTTCCTTTGCAGAGGAGATTGAAACTCTTTGTGTTTCTTCCAGCCTGGTCCAAATCCAGGCTCCTGAGTCCAAAAAAACCCTTGCAAAAATGGAAACTCCAGCCATTCCCAGCTGGAATTTTGAACCAAATGGGAATTAATGCAGTTCTTCTAGTGGAGGACATCCAGAGCACAGAGCTGTGCTCCTGGGCTGCACCATGTCCCCTTGCAGAGCCTCAGGGACTGACCCAAAACCCCACAGGACCAAGGAGGGTGCTGGAACACGCTGCTAGAAAGGTTCCCCCAAGGTGTGCAAGGAAAAACCCCTCACCCTCAGCTGGATCCTCCTCCTCCTCCCAATCCTATTAGTATTAGAGAGGGATCGAGCTATAAGAGGAAAAGCCCATCTTTAGCAGCAGTGCTGACAGCTTGCCTTTTAAATCTTTCATAAGCACTGGCTTGCACAGCCACCCTCATCTGCTGCATGGCAGCACATGGAGGCAGTAACCCAGGGGCTTGGCCCCTGTTGAAGGGCTGCTGAATGTTGGGATGTTTGGAAGCTACCTGGGAAACCTCAGCCATTCAAATGGAGCTGCAGTTCTTATTCCATCAACCCCTCTTTCCTCCTCTACTTGTGTGCCAGGAGCTTGATTTAAAACCATGTTCCCTTGTCCCATATGGAGGTGATGGCTGCTGCTCCCTGTGCCCTGTGATCAAGGGCATCTGTGACCACAGGAGAGAGGGGACAGGTCTGATGGGTGGCTGAGTTCTGCCCTGTTCACCCCAGCTCCCAGACGGGTTTACAAGGGCCCCATGGCATTGAATTTGTCTCAGCTGTCCTCCTCCAGACCTCAATTTGGGACTGCACAGAGTCCCGCTGCAAAAATAGCTGCTCTGGGGCATGAATCAGAGCCCTTTATAGCTGCACTGACTGACAGTGACCACAGAGACTCTGCCAGAGTTTATTGGTATAGGAAGTAGAAGCCCATGTTTACAGCTTAGGGACGAGCTCTCAGAAGTCACAGCCGATGACGGTGCCGATAGGCACGGAGCGTGCTGGGATTCTGCTGCCCTCTCCTGGATGCAAGCTTCTGGATGTGGCCCCTGAGTGCTGGATCCTGGAGGTCAGGTTGTCCGTGGGGCAGTCCCCTCATGTCTTGGCTTCTGGCCACCACAGGCCATAGAAAGATGCCCATCCACTGGTCCTCTGGAGGCTGGGGCATCCAGTTTCACCCCTTGCTGGCCATGGTGAGGTGGGGAGCGTCTGGGTTGTGTGTCACATCAGGGTGACCTTGCCCAAACGCTTCTCCCTCTGCAAGAGCAGAAGTGGCTGCACTGCTCTTTGTGCATGAAGGGGTTTACCCAGCACTTGTCCACGGAGAAACCTCCCCTTTGCTGCTGGGTCAGTGGTCAAGCAGTGGTCCAGCTCTTGGAAAGGGCTTTGTTCCCAAAGCAGCCCATGGAGCCACCCTCTCAGAGGTGAAAAGCCAATGCTCTGGTCTAAATCTTGTCATCAGCTGTTTGATAGCTTGTGGGTTTGGGAGATACCTGCCCAGAAGATGAACAGCAGCTCTGGGAGGTGCTTTAGCCTCTGTGGAGTGTGGCCATCACACACCCTGGCCCCTTCTCACACTCGCTGTGCATCACTTGCCTTCTAAGATTTAATTCCTTGGGTCTTCATTGTTTTAGGTAGCTCCTGGCTCAGCCTGCCCATTGCCCAGCCTTTGGAACCGGAGCACAGCCCCAAAAAACCCATGTCTTCATCCGAGCCCATCCTGGATCTCAAGGCAGACATGGCAGAAGCGCTTCCAGGTGAGAAACACGCTGTCCTGGCTGCCTCCAGTCACACCAGTGCTGGGCAAGGTGGGTCCCCCAAGTCACCCCTCTCCCCACATGTACCTGTGCTGTTGTCTTCTTGCTGTTTGTTTATTAAGTTACAAGCTTAAACCCAGGATGGCAAGTGATCACTGATGTCCCACTCACACATGAGCACCCTTGGCCTCCTCCTGAGAAGCCCCAAGGCAACCTCTGCTGTTTCCCAACACTGGGGAAACTAAAACTACCTATTTGTTGGAATTTCCCAACGAGAGACATGAGGATGCAAATCCCCGAGTGGGGACCTGCTGCTTTGCTGCATTCACCTGCCTTTCATTTGCTCCTTTAGAGGAACCCAGTGAAGCAGAAACTCAACCTGCAGGCATTCATTTCTGGGGCTTCTAACCATATAAGACTTAATGTCCTTTCATGTCACAGACAATGACCACAAGAAGCCAAGAATCTCTTTTCTCCCCCAAATATCAATGCCAAACAAGTTCTGTGCTTCATTTTTTCATCTGCACATTTTATTTCCTATATAATCTTCCCAAAGCTGTGCATGCAAGCAGAATGCCATCATCCTACCTTAGAGATATGTGGAATGATGGCCTTCTGTGGCTGGGGACAAATTCATCCTGGATAGAAATGGATGGCTTGAGAAGAGTACAGACCTACAGAGCCTGCCAGTGACTGCCAGGAGCAAATTGACCCTTCTTTTAAGTACATGCTGAAGCGTTTTTATGGTTACTAGAGTGAGGATAATAAGTATTTCCAAGCCAGGATGCAGCTGAAGCTGGGCAGGAGCTGTGCCTCTTGGCAGAGCAGTATCTCTTGACAAGAGTTTGCCATACGCAGTATTGATCACTATCTCCTAACAAGAAATAGGCAGGTCTTACCCAAATTGACGGGCTCCACAAGAACTGCCTGGCGAAAGCTGCTTCTGGCTCACACAGTATTGAAATGTCTCCCCTAGGCCAGATGCTGTGCTGATGTAAGTCAGCACGGCTCCTTTGGCTTCAGTTCCTGCAGCTTACGACATCCAAGGGCCTGGCTCTGTGCTGTCACCGGGCTTTGACCTCTCATTCTGCTTTGCCAAAATGAAATGTGTTATAATTCCCATCCCTGCCATAAAGCTGGAGTCATTGTGCTTGGAAAGCACATCCAAATGGAGCAGTCATGCAGAGTCTTGGTCCAATGAAGCTGCTATCCATCACGTGCATGTTCACCACCCCTCAGCTGGACATACTTTAGGAGGCATCTCAGTTCCTCCAAAGAGGGTCCTCCAGCAAGGACCTGGGACATCCCAGCCTCAGGGGTAAACAAAACCTCTGCTTACCTGTGCCAGAGAGGGCAGTGAGAGTTGGGGGACACTTGGAGAGGGGGGATTCACTGCTTCTTGTCGCACCTCGCCTGGGAGCTCAGCCAGAACTGAAGCAGATCAGTGCAGATGCTAAACTAACCGGTGACATTATCACTTGGGCAAATATCCACCACTTATGATTAAGGAGAAAAGAACTGCACAGATCCACACTGAGCAAGAAACGTAGTTGAAAGCTGACAGCAGAGCTCATATCCTTCCAAAACAGAAACAAAACAGATGCATTTGGGAAGCATCCACAGTTTCCCAGGGGTTGATTTGAGTCCTAGCCATAGCTGCGGGATGAAGGCAGTCAGAGAGCAGGCAGTGACAGCCCCAGGCTCCAGCAGGCACGCTCCTCTTCCTCAGCAGGCAGGGACAGCTCGCCTTGCTGGGGCAGTGCCAGCTCCTGCCAGGTCTGGGTAGGAAAGGAAATAAGGAGGAAGTTAGAGATTAAAACCATGACGGGATGAACTCAGAACAGCAATTAGCCTGCTGATGGATATCGTGTCACCGATCACCGAGGGGTTTAGAGAGTGGCGAGCGCTGATTTAGATCACGGCAGGGGCTCGGTCCGGAATTAACTGCAGAAACACCATCTCCAAATGGTGCTGACAGAAGTCATGTATAACAAACCGTGGCTTGAGTTAGATACCCATCTGTCACTCCTGAGTGACAGACACACTGATCCGCATGCAACAGAGGTCTGGATTACACAGCATTCATATGCACAGTCCCGCAGAGCTCCGAGCTGCTGCACTTCTCCTTGCACACGTTAGCAGGATGGATTCGTTTCCACATTGCACCTATACCTGCACTGTGTGAATACATTCACAAGCACACAGAAAACACTTATTTCATACAGATGACCGCTCTTGAGGGTATTTTGTTTCCTGCAGCCACATTGCCCATGCACACACCATGACCCTGCAAGCTAAGCATCCTTGTAAGAGGTGAAGTTGTGACCTTCATCCCCACTGAAGGTGAAAGGGTGATGTTTGTGAGCCTATTGCCACCATTTGTACCCTTCCCAAACTGTTCTTAATGTCTTTATCACATAAAATATATGCAATCTTTTCCATCAGCATCTCATTTCTGGGCACAGCCTAAGCTCTCCATCACTATCAGGCTCTCAAGTAAGAGTTAATGAGAAACATTTTAGACAAAGAATTAATGTGGGGTATTCAGGGCAAGCAAACTTTGGTTGAAGGGAACAGTTTGGGTCCTTTCTCCCTTCTCCACACACACACACACACACACACACACACACACACATACAGGGACTAAACCTGTTCTTCCAGCTCTTGATTTCACTCATCTTTGCGCCACAACGCCCTAAGTTAAGAGGCTGGAAAGGAGTTTAATAAGCTTGCAAAAGAGCTGAGTTTGACTCCCAGGGATGTGCTGTTGCTGGATTTTCATTTAAAAACTGGAAAGAAAAGAGCTGTTGAAATCAAGGCATGGAATAGAAGCAGCCTCAGAGGCACAGAACTCTGCTTCTACCTTGGGGGGCTTCCCCTCTGATGCCCAGCACTTGCTCAGAGCTTGGCTGCCTGGTGTGAGCTCACAGAATGCAAAAAAGAGGAGTTTCATTTCCTGTTTGGGGGAATCTGGGGTTTCTGCAGCAAACGGTGGAAAAGGAAAATCAGTCCTTGAGGCTCACGCAGTCTGAGCTGAAGATCCCCCGTTGGGCTGGGGAAGCACCCCAGGAATGACCTGTGTGTGTCAGGACCTTACAGCAAGCGCCTTCATCTGGAAGCACACAGAGAAGCAAACCCACCACCAGAGCCTGCCCTGTCAAACACTCTGGGAAGAGCAAATTGTATCCCAAACAGCAGCGAGGGGCTGGGACAGTGTGTGCTTCCCTGCAAAGCACCAGCTCACCAGTGCAGGAGCCTGGTAATTGCACTCAGCACGACGTCTATCAGCACCATGGGGCTGCATCGGAAGTGGCACTTCTGCTCCTTAATTGATGCTCTGAAGCAGACAAAAGCATCACAAAGTCTGAGCGAATGAAAAATATGGTGAGAAAAGCAGAGTATGGAGCAGATCTCCTTTCCCAGCTCAGTAGCTGTGAGGTGCACTGTGAAGAAGAGTTGTAAGGTGTCCTGCGATCATCTTAGGAGCTATACCCCACGTTGCCAGACACAGGCTGGCCCCACGGAGGGACACATCAGTGGAAGGGAAGCTTAGACTGGGGGAAATTGAAGTTATCTGTTCAAAGCTACAGGGAAGATAAATAGCAAGAAAGTACCCTGGAAGACCCAGCAGCCAGGGCATTCAGTGTCAGGTTTGGTCCAGGCCAAACTGTAGCCAAAGTGATGCCCACACTCTCAAAATCACTAGCACAGAGAAAGAAAAGATACAGTCCTCCCAATAGCTGGGGTCAGAAAAGCTCTGGTCTTGCAGACAGGGTTAAGCACAGATTCCTCAACCTAAGTTTCTTGTACCAGTCATGGGGCATACTGGAGGCCAATGGAGAAGAGTGGCCAAGAGGAACATCCACCCCTTGGCAACTGCGTGGTTTTGGATCCTGCAAGTTCCAAGGTGGAGCTGACTTTCCTCAGAAAACCAGTGCAAATCCACATTGCTTTTGCCCCCCTGCTCCAGTCTTTTGCTGTTTGGAAACACATGTGCCTGTGCAAGTGAACTCATGGGCTGGGATAGAATCATAGAACCAACAGGTTGGAAAAGACCTTTAACATCATCAGGTCTAACCATTACATGCCTGGCCAGGAGCAACCACGTGTTTCAGCACTGTATGGGGAGCAACTAAATACCTGCTGAGCTCTGCATTTCCCAGTGAGTGCAAAATGACTTCTACAGATATTAGTCTGAGAGCCAGCAGAGCAGGCTGGGATAACCTGCCCTTGGTGAATGAGATAGAACAGAAGTAAGTAAATGTCATGGGCAATTAATGAATATTCCCAAAGAGAAGACATTAAGGCTCACTAGGTCCTTTACGTAAAGTCCCTCAGCTACCAAGAGATGTCTAAACTGCCTCATCATACCTAAAGGAGCAGGATTTTACACTGCTGCTGCCTGTAAAAGAGCTGGACCAAGCTGTGCACTAACCCAGGGAACACTGCACTGGAGAGGCACAGGAATGGCCTGAGCATCACCTTCTCAGTGCTTTCAAAGCAAAGAAATAATGTCTTGGCAAACCTGTGCTCTAGCAAGGGGTTCTTCAGTGGGGTCTACACCGTTGTGCTGCTCTCCCCAAGCTCAGCAGCTCATCAGATGTCTCAGATAGATCCAGAGGCAATGGAAAAAAAGCAAGAACAGAGAGACTTCAACACTATGGAGGTTGCAGGTTGCAGCCACCCTTGCCAAGGAAATCAGTATGGTCTGGTATGGAATGCATGGAAGATGGACCCAGGAGACCTGGTTTTGTTCTCAGCTTGACGACCTTAATGAGTTATTGCACTTCTCTGTGCTTCAAATGGGAATAATGTGATGTAAAATGTATTGAAAGCTTGAGGGAAAAACAAATGCAGCAGCTACAGCCCTTGGATGGTCTAAATGATGCTAGAGAAGAACTGAAGAGATTTGAATTCCGCATCCATCTAAACCATAGGCTCTTTGGATGAATTTGGATGCATCTGCTTATGCTCCCCATGCCTCAGCTCCCCGCTCATGAATGCAGCAGTGAGGCTTGCAGATAAGGTGATTAAAGCAATATAAAAACTTGGAGACTTTATTCCATCACTCAAAGAATTTGGGGCAAAGATACATCCTTGTAGCTTCCTGGGGAGATTTGCCAGAGAAAATCCAGCCTTCAAGGTTCCTGCTCAGTGACGGGTGACATTTCCCCATTCCACCTCTAGCGATTTCAGTGCTGGAGCTGCTCAAGTAAATGTCAAACGAAGACAAGAAGAGGAAGAAAAAGGAGGAGGGAAAACTCTGTCCTTACAGAAAGTTTTCAAGGCAAAAGAAAATCCACCTTGATATTTCCTGCTTCCATGGTGGGCAAAGTGTAGGGTGAGGAATTTAAAATAGGAATACTTTATGCCCTGAATGCTTCGTACCCCTGCTATTAGATGTGCTCTACAAAATCCCAGCAGGCCATGTAAGACAAAATCCTTTGTTTTCAGAGCTCTTTGGTCTTGGGAAATGGGGCAGTGGAAAGAAGAAGAACAAACCATGAGGGAAAAGGGACAAGGAAATCTCCCCCAGGGAGAAGCAAGGGGAGGCTCTCACCAGGATGGCCTCTCTTCCTATAGTAGATCTATACTTTTGATCAGAACTCAAACTCCCTTTTGTGTGCTAATAGCAAAGGCTGGAGCACATCTGGCCAGGGCAGATGTTGCAGCACTGGTTGCTGGTATTGTGGGACACGTGCATTAATGGGTAATGCTTATCAACTGCCTAAATGTTGGCTACTAGAGGCATCTGCTGAGCCCTGTGTGCTCCCTTGCGTAAAGTCCTACATGAAAAACTACAAGGGGGAAAGGGGGAGGATAATTCACATCTCGGTGGCAATCACTTCCTATAAACAGCCAAACAACAGCATTTCCCAATCCACATTTACTGTGACATCCAGAGCATCTTTAATGCAAGGGTAGATGTATAGCCCCAGGGTATAGGTGGAGGGTTGGAAACTGAAAGGCAGATGGATGCAATGAGTGAAAACCTCCAGAGCAGCAAATAGGAGGCACTACTTGGGTTAAAGCTGTGCAACAAGAGGGTTTCTTTCAGGTGCTTTGAGAGGGAGCCGTGAAAACTGCTGCTAGGTTGATATCACTGCTCAGAAAAACAGATCTTGTTATAATGAGGGGAAGAAAGTCCCCGTGTGTCTGATGTGACCCAAAAACCAGCCACGTAAATGAAAACAAGGACAAGAAACCCCCCTTGTCCCAGAGCTTTCAAAGAGCAGGAAGGTTTGTGCTTCTGCCAAAGGTATTTAGAAACACAGGAACTTCAAGGGAAAACAAAGAAGCAAACATAAACCAACCACTTCCAAACCAAATCTCTGCTAAACCAGCAGCATTTGACAATGCCTCTGGTCTCTGCCAGCTGCGGAGCAGGGGCTCGCCCCTGCTGTGTGACAGTCACTGTTGGGATAGCACCAGAGGTGGTGGCATCAGGGATGAGGAAGGATGTGTGGGAAAGGTTGGATGGACAAGATCCCTCTCGCCGCCTTGTCCATGCTAAGCATGGGTGTTAGCAAACACTCCCTGGGTTCAGCTGTAGGTGCATAAGCTGCTCTGTGCACATAAGGCCTCTCTTAATGCTTCCTTAGCAGTTCCCATTGGCTTTTCCCCCTGACTGATTTTCCTAGCAGCTGGTAATTGAGAGGGAATGGCTATTCCCCATGCAGAATCACTGCTTGTTAGCCACTGCTGTTAACAAGCCCAAGCTCTGCAGGAGGCTGGGCCATTTCTTCTTCCATTTCCCTGCATCCCCTCTGGTTCGGACGGTTCCTGAGCTCAGCATCCCTCTGCACCACTGCAGACCAAGCCACAGGCCACAGGAAGCCCTTAACCTTTGATGGAGCACCCAAACCCACCCCAAGGCTTGGGGCAGAGCTCACCAATGTGGCGACCAAGAGCACCCAGCTCTAATTGCCCCATGCCCAACTGAGCCCAGCTACCTGCACCCCAGTGTGGCTGCATCCAGCCTTGTTCGAGGTGCTCCCATCACAAGGGGCTGATCATGCTCCTGCTCCTCACACAGCTCTCTGCTTTCCTTCCCCAGCCCATGGTGACCCAGAGGAGGTGAAGCAAAGCCACGAGACGAGGCAGGACCCATCAAGCCCCAGCGGTGGGGATGACTTTGCAACCTCCAGCATGAGCAGCCGTGGTGAGTCCATCCCAGCTCCGGCCACTGATGACACCCTCGCAGGCAGGTCGGAGGGGAGGGATCCCAGCCCCACAGACTCCTTGCCATGGCCAGAAGCCCCCGAGGAGAGCCCAGCCCATCCCAACACCCTGGACCTCTCCAAGTCCCTGAAGAAGCCGGAGGAGGTGAAGCAGACGGGGCAGAGGGCAAACAGTGACCACACATCAGTGAAGGAGAACGGGGTGGAGGTCAGCCCTGCCGTGGTGGTGGTGAGTGAGAAGCGGCGGGCGATGGAGACCGAGCTGGGCAAATGCATCGAGGACTTCCGCAAGATCAAGATCCCTGTCGCCTTCCCCAACAAGAAGCGGCAGTGGCAGAGCGAGCTGCTAAAGAAATACCAGCTGTGAGCCCGCTGGCGTGCTGAGGGTCTCCACCAGCATCCCTGGGTAGCAGGAGGAGGTGTCCGCAGTCCCGAAATGAGGAGTGTGGGGTGCTCATCAAGCCCATCCATCAGGCAAGGGTACAGAGTTCTCCTCACCATGGCCATCAGGAGGGTTGCATGGTATCCTATGTGACATATGTGTGGGTGGAGGGACTTGGAAAAAGAAGGAAGGTCCATGGTGAATGCTCGGAGCCAGAGCTTCCGTCCAGCAGAAGTTCCCACTTTTATGACAATGACGTTTCCTAGTTTCAAATAATAAATTATAGTTGGTGTTGAAAATGAATTCCTTGCCCCATTGATGCAGATGTTTGAGCTCAGCTGCTCCAGACTGTACAAGTGGTTCAGACATTCAGGGTTCCCGGATTGCCTGGCTCCTCGGGGAGCAGATGGGGAGGCCGGATCCACATTCTTCTTCCTTCCTCCTAAACACTGGAGAAGTGTTTATAAGAACATGGAGAGCCAAAGCAGTGCGACATAACACGGGCAGAGCTTACAGCCAGCAAAAGGCTTTATGAAGGGGGGTAAAACCACATCACCCCCTGCACAGGACCTCCAGTTCCCAGCGGACAGACATGGAGCTCATAAGAACAAAACTGTGCAGGATGGGGCTGAGCCAGAGCCCATCAGATGTGGGGCCTGTCCAGAGCTGCTCTGGAGGCACTGCAGTAGAAGCTGCAGGAGACATTGCTGGTGCTAGAGCAAGCTGCCAACCGCCCCTGCAGAGATGGGGCAATGGGAGGCAGCCCCATCTCAGCCTCTTCTCCCCAGGACCTGTGCCTTGGGGGGGTCACAGCTTCTCCCACTCAAAGGCGTGATCCAGGCAGGCTCTCACACTGCTTCCAGCTACAGAAGCACCAACCCTGCCCTGAGAGTGATTCCTTGGTATCAGGGGTGCACTGGATTTTGGGAAGATGAGGAGGCTTTTGGGAAGATGCGGAGGCTTGCCGCTGACCAAAGCCCTTGGAGGTCCTTCTGCATCCTTCCTGGAGCTCCCTGTGGGCACCCATCGCTCCTTCCCAGAGCCCTCTGATGGCACCATCACTCCCGCAGGTCACTGCTCTGGTTGTGAACACGAGCAGCAGCAGAATTTGCCCATGGGAGAGCCGGTTGGCACAGGGGAAGATAAATGAACTGCTCCTAAGCTGGGCACCAGCCAACACAAATGAGCTCTGTGGTTGGCCAGGCTGCGGGGCAACAGCAGCCAGCCTGGTAAACAGCAACCGAAAGCCACCACCACTGCTTGGGCCCTGAGAGGGAGGGAAAGGCTGTGTCCTTAGCCCTGAGGGTTTTAAAAGCATCTGGGAACCCCAGTGGCTACCAGCTGAATAGATGGGTGGGAAGCCAGGAGCCACGGTGGCAGACGTGGTTATCACCCTTCTTGGAAGGTCCTCTGCTCTCTGGGAGCAGCAGGAGTGCTGTGCTAACAGGGCCCAGAGGAGTTCAGACCCTGGTATGTTTATACCCATCACATACAGGGCTCATTCAGCGCCACAGAGTGTTTCCAGCCAGCCAGGAAGAGCTGCTGAAGTGACTTGTTCCTGTTTATCCTTCAATATTTGTCCTTTATTCAAACCGGTGCAATGTGCTGTTTGGTTTGGGGAATCTATTTACATGTATCTCCATGTCCCAGGAAATTCAGGGGGTTTCCTGTGCTGATTGATAGACACAAAGCCCGTTTTACCCCAGGTACTTTGCTCCTTTGGCATCAGTGAGAGCAGTCTCAAGTTCACACATGCCAGGTGCAGAGCCAGACTCACCCTGAGCAGAGCCCTGGGCACAGGATCTGAAGGGGCCTATAGGGATGCTGAGGAGGGACTCTTCATCAGGGACTGTAGTGATAGGACAAGGGGTAGTGGGTTCAAACTTAAACAGGGGAAGTTTAGATTGGATATAAGGAAGAAGTTCTTTACTGTGAGGGTGGTGAGGCACTGGAACGGGTTGCCCAAGGAAGCTGTGGATGCACCATCCATGGCAGTGTTCAAGGCCAGGTTGGACAGAGCCTTGGGTGCCCTGGTTTAGTGTGAGGTGTCCCTGCCCATGGCAGGGGGGTTGGAACTGGATGATCTTAAGGTCCTTTCCAACCCTAACCTGTGATTAAATCAGCTCTTGCTCCTTCCATTGACCTGCTGTGTGATGCTGGAAACACCAGGTGCTCACTGTCTGTGCACTGATTCTTGCCAGCGACTGCGCATGGTGTTTGCTGCCAGCTGAAGGGGTGTGGATGGGTACCTGGTGCTGCAAGGTCGTGCAGCTGTGAGCGTGTGTCAGTGGAGGTTCAGGAGAAGCAGAGGTCACCAGGACACAGCCAGCGCTGTCTCCTGCCAAGGGAATAAACATCTCAGCTTCTCCCATCTATTTATTTTCCACAAATGCCTCGGCCTTGCTTGAGCAGCAGGAAGCCATTCATTACCCAGTGACAGTGTTCCACAAGCATCCCTTAATTGAATGCCATTATCCCTTAATTAATTAAATGCCAATTAATTACCAGGAACATCGCATGACATGTAACAAATGCCAGCAGCTACTTGAGACAGAATCATTTAAAACCTGGGGAGTCTGGCCCAAATAATAATGATCAGGAATTGTCCAGCAAAGGAAACAATGAGGATCTTAATGTCATTTCCCCCGAGGCAGGTTGGGATGTGCTTGAGGGAAAAGCCTGTTTTCAGGCTCGCATCCCTCCAGGAAAGCTGGAGGGGCTCTGGCTTTCTAAACCTCAGTTGGTTTCCTCTGGCAGTACCCATGGATTCAAAGCTGGTCCAAAATGTCCCAGTAGCCACTGATGCTGAGTGGAAGGAACTGATTCATCCCATGGCGCACATGGTGGTGGAATAAGTGGTTCCCTCACTTGGTTGTGTCATAGTTGTACTCGGTGGAATTGGATTATACAGGGAAAAGCTACGTTTTTACTTCCCCATGTGGAGCATTCTCCCTGGAGCACTGCAGGTTTGCAGCCCCTCTGCTCCCAGCAGCAATGGGACAAAGCCTGGAAAAGGGAACAGGAGAGATCCCTGAGGTCTCCCAGTTCTTGGCTGCGTGGAAAGGCAGCAATGCCAATTTTCCCTCATCCCTAGCAGCCTGGGGAGTGGGATGCTGTGCTGCACAGGGAAGCAGGAGTTAAAGCCTTAGGTGGCTCGGAATCCTCTGCCAGCCAAGCAGAGATAATAGCCTTTCTCAGAGGAGTGCTTAATGGCCGTAAGGGAGGATTGTAACTAGATTATACTTTTATTTTAAACCAGCAGGAAAGCCAGGAGCAGATCCAGAGAGGGGAAACGAAGGCACAGACATGGGTTCAAAAGGCAAAAGTAACCCCTGTATAAATACCTGTTTCTAAAGGTCACCATCAGACACCTTCCATCTGACACAAGTGCCTGCCTCTCTCCCACATTCTTACCTTACAAGATCTTCACTGTAGGGCTGCTCAGGAGCTCACTCTGCCTCTTCCTTTGGGTGTAAGAATGCTCCTGCTGCCAGCAGCAAAATCAGCCCTTTTCAATACAAGGTTGGGGATGGGACTTGGGGAAAGCTGCTTCTGGTTTGAAGCTTTCTTACCCACCTCAGACACCTCCTCAAGGATGCTCTTCCAGGCCAGACTGGCAGTGGTGCCCTCCCAAGTTTAGGATTTAGCTGCACAAGCAACTTGTTTGCAGTTGACGGAGATTCACAAGTAAGAATTATGTTTGGTTTAGGACGGCAGTCTTGGGAATGCCCTTCAGGAAACATTGCAGGGAACCACTTGGCTTTGCCCAAGCGATGCAGAGGTTTTCCAGGCTGTCTCAAAAACTTAGGCACACCAGAAGCAACTTCTCAGATCTTCCCATGCCAAAGGTACCAAAAAGCCACCAGTGATGCTCAGCCACAGCGGGCATGATGGCAGGAGGGGTGGATGAAAGGTTTAGGACTCAGGAAACTGGAAACTGCTTATTTTCATTCCAGAACCCAGAGTATTGGATCAAAATTGTGCAGCCAGCAAGCAGAAAAAGAGCCTGCTCTGGTGTAATACATACACTGATTTAATTGATATAATGATCCTGAGGTTCTCCTAAAGGAATGCCGCAGCCTGAGTTATGTCAAATAAACTTGTGTTTTCCTCTTCTGCAATTAATGTGATTTATGTTGGTTTTCCAAGCACTGGGAGGTTAAAATCAGGATCAATGAACCTTCTAGAAACTATAAATCAGTCAGAGAAGAATCTTGCATTAAAAGGCAAAGCTCTGATTTGACCCATTGCTGGGGGCTGTTGAAAGTGTAAAAGGGGCTTCAAGGATGCTTCAAGTCTGAAGAGCTCGATGGGAATCCTGGGCTTGGGCAAAGCAGGCCAAGGAGGTGAAAGGGGAACAGAAGCTTCTTTCCCTTCCCATGCATGAAGTTCCCTTTGGTTTTGATGTCAGGCAGGAGGGGGAAGCTCCAGCAGGAACACAGACCAGTGCTGCTGCTGGCAGCCTGCATCAGGAGTGATGGACGGTAAGTACAGATACCGTCTTCTGCTTGGAAGAGACCAAATCACTTAGCTGCTATTACATTAGCACCCAAAAAGCCCAATGGGACTTTGCCTGCATAAGGAAAACTTATTATAGCCTATAACTAACCACCATAAGTTACAGGCAGCAGCAGTGGAAACACTGCAGGGAAATTGAGCTGTTTGTTTGATGCTTTCTCCATGCTCTCTCATTAAACAGCTTTGATCTCCCGGGGCTCACCTCACCAGGCCAAGGCCAATGCTGTTGTCTGTTTCTATGGAGGATTTTATTCTCAGCTCTTATTTTGCTGTTCTCCGTTCCCACCATCTCCCCACAGAGCAAGCACCACCAGAGTGTGATGTGCTGGTGCAGTGTGGAGGCATCGCTGGTGCTCAGCCTTGGAGCCTCATCCCAAAGCTTCTCCTGAGGATGCTGCCGGTGCCAGGTCCTCAGGAGCCCCCCTTCCTCCCTCCCTCCACAGGCAAAGACCTGCAGAGCAAAGTAGTCTTGGCCACAGAGCTCATGAGCAGTGGAAGCAGTGCTGAGGACCAAAGATCCCAGCTCCTAGTTAAGTCTCATTGTTTTACTAGTTAGTGCTATGTAATTGCAGCAGTTATGTATTACCCACAGGGGAAAAGAATCAAATTGCAACGCAGAGGTGCAGGGGGACCCGTTTGCCATTTAAAACACAGGAGCAGCCACATACTGGAGCTGCTGTGTCATTAAATCAAGCGTGCTCAGTGGATGAGAAACCATTTACTGAGCAGCTACTTGGTCCTCAAGAAAAGCTTGCCAAGAAGCTTTCAGCTGAAGGGTTTTCCACTTCCAGGAATCCACTGCGAGAGACAAGAACCAGAGCACGTATTCCGACACTCCCATGCTGGATCAGTGGTGCCAAACAGAGCTTCCGATGTGCAACATCAAATCGTATTGGTTTGACCTTATTGTATCA